AGATGCTATCAAACGCCTTGCAGAAATCAATGAATCTGATAGCTAGAGGGGTTTGCAGTTCAGCACATTTTATCCACCGCAGGGTGAAGATCTGCTCAGCACAGGATCTCTTTGAGCGAAACCTAGCTTGTTGCTCGCAGCTCCCAGAGGACCTTGCCTACTGCATCTCATGAGGTTCAGGAGGCATTTGGCATACATCTTCACTGGTATAAAAAAGAATTGTCACTCCCCTTAAGTTATCACATTCATTCAGGTTTCCCTTCTTTTCCCACACTTTAAGCCTATGTCACAATTCAAGAAAGAGCCCGCTCGGCGTGTTTTCGGCCTGTGTTTTGGCACTACCGAATTCGGAACGGGACCTGGAAGGCAATAGGCGGGGTTCCCGACAGCTGCCGGCCTATTTTATGGCCCCGCGACGTCGGCAAATTGATTTGACTCAAACTTAAATCACTTCGGGCCCGGCCGCCAAGGTACGCCGAAAGCGACCCCGTAACCTCACCTCACCAAACTGTAACCTAGCCGCCGGGTCACGCACAGGCACCTGTCCAAGATTTGAAGTCACGTGTGTTGTTCTGTGCTTTAATTGTTCAGAAGAAGGTAGTTACAGACAATATAGAGGGTACTGTGCTGTTCTCGACATAGCTACATCATCAATCAGTCATAGTGACCATACACGGGTCTGCGCATCAACCAGCGGGGCCAAACCCACCATACCAGCAACAGGCGTACCAGCCTGGGACCTGCCAGGATCGCCCCTTGACCCCGCCAGGGACCCTGTAGCTGCCCGGCCGGAATGCAAGAGCTAGTCGGCACCCTATCGCATCCCGCACGGGTCTGACGGAAGACTGACTGGGCACCGGACGGGTCCCTAACAGAAACCGGTCGTCAAGGGGACCAAAATTTTGTGAATTTTAAATAGAAGCCGCCTCAGCGCCCCGACAGGGAGCCGTAAAGGAAAATTCAATTGTGACCCTGACAGCCGGCGTACGCTCGGCTTCATGACGCCGGCCGGCGTCTACACCGAGAACATGCCGAGCGGGCGCCGTTTCACATGTGACTCCAGCTGAACTACTGATCCGTTCTTCCAGTCCTCCAGCACTCCTCTTGTGATCGCCGTTGAATGCCTGCTTTTATTCCAGGGAAGGCGTACTAGGGAAGACGGTTATGGTTCTATATTAAAGCGTCTGCGATGTACGGCGATCAGAAAAGCATCCATCTCACAACACAGTCACCCTCGGCTTTCAGCATCTCTGAAGTGATGCCATTCATGTAAAGTCCCTGGCGGGTAGTTCCCGGGCTGTTTTTGTACACTTTCAGGCGTGGGACACCCCGCGGCTACCGGGCTATTTTTTTGGCCTGTCCGGGATCATGAAGAATTCAACTCCGACTTCAGGACGTCAAGTTAGCGCTTTATTCTGCCTGTACAGAGACGCTGGTAAGGCACAGGTGTGGGCTTATGAAGGGTCTTATATTTTTTTGAACAGATTGTATCATTTATTAACATTCCTATCAGTGTTCAGAGGTACAGGCGCCCATGCTATATACTGGTTAGTTTTTGCATACTAGTAATATGCATTAAATGTTGGTGTGATCAATACTGGGATGGTTTATTCTGATTATCTAGCCTTCAAAACATGTGTATAGTATGTGTATTGTATCAAAAGTATTGTTGATACCATGAGATTTATTGAGATATTGACGAAAAACAGATTTTCAGTAATGGCGGCCTAAATTTGCAAATCAAGCACAAAAATATCTATTTGATCTCCACTGAAATGGCCTATCCTCAATCGTTATCCCAAAAAAACATGGGGAAAGACACAAAAGATATTATAATATCATAATGTAGTTACTGAGATATTGACGGAAAACAGATTTTCAGTAATGGCCCCTTGATTTGCCTATTGTGCGGCCCAAATTTGCATATTCAGCACAAAAAAACTGGTTTGATCTTTACTGAAATGGCTTAATTCCATTCGTTATCCCTCAAAACATGGGGATAGACACCAAAATTATTCTGATACCATGAGTAGTTACTGAGATATTGACGAAAACAGATTTCAGTAATGGCCGCCCTAATTTGCATACTTGCGCGGCCCAAATTTGCATATTTAGCAAAAAATAGTGGTTCTATCTTTACCGAAATGGCTTAATTTAATTCGTTATCCCTCAAAAGATGGGGATAGACACCAAAATTATTCTGATACCATGAGTAGTTACTGAGATATTGACGAAAACTGGATTTTCAGTAATGGCCACCTTAATTTGCATATTGTGCGAATTGCCCAAGGATGACAGAGTGGCATCATTCAGATTCTGAAAGAGCACACCTCAGAGATATAGAAACAACAAAAAAACTTTGTATGGACCGCATTGCAAGGTTCTCCAAAAATCGGGGGTTTGGCAACCGGACTAAAGACGAGTTGGAGCATTGTAAATACCTAAGAAGAACAAGTGGCAAGTTCTGATACTCAAATTCTTTAGAGATCTCGACTTTGATAAATAAATAACATCATCGTTGCAACATTGCACTTGGGGACCACAACATAACTCAGTCCTGCCATCTGGCGGCACGAATCCAAATTGCAGCATCAATTGATTGTCAATATTTCGTTATTGCAACACATTCCGTTTTTACATGCCGCTTCCCTTTATGACATTTATTCTGTTCAACATACTTCATCGGTCATAGCATTTTTTCTAAAGGCACTTTTATGGCCATGACTGCATGTGGCTTCGACAAACACGTTCAAAACTCCCGTAGAAAACTAGCATCTCGGAGCATCCAAATTTCTCAATTTCAATTCATGTCAAAGTGGCTTGCAGCGCATTTGCATATTTACGATTTCATTAATCACATAACATATTGCATCCATTGTATTATCTGCCACATTTTCCGTTGCAACAATGCATCGTCAGGAAACGACGAGGGGATTTTTTTTCGCATATTGCTTAATTCGTAAGTTCTCTCATTCTTTTTATACATATATGTGTCAGTGTGACAATTACGATCTGAGCAACAATATCATCATTCTCTCATTACAAGAGCCTGTTGCGATGCAACACACCGTCTCCATGGTTACAAAAGCCTGTTGCTAGGCATCATCATAAGGCCCTGTTGCTAGGCAACACAGTTTCCATGGCTACAAGAATCTGTTGCTAGGCATCATCATAAGAACCTGTTGCTAGGCAACACACCGTCTCCATGGTTACAAAAACCTGTTGCTAGGCATCATCATAACACCTAGTTGCTAGCTAGGCGACAGTCCGTCTCCATGGTTACAGGAGTCTCTCCATGGTGACGACCCTGAAACTTTTTTCTCTTATTGCAAAATTCGTAGGAACAAGACCGGTCGTCACCGTTGGGTCCTGTTGCTATGCGACCGTCCGTTCCCATGGTTACAGGAGTCTCTCCATGGTAACGACCCTGAAACTTTTTTGTCTCTTATTGCAAAATTCGTAGGTTCTGAACAAGACTGGTCGTCACCGTAAGACCCTGTTGCTATGCGACAGTCTGTTGCCATGGTTACAGGAGTCTCTCCATGGTGACGACCTTGAAACTTTTTTCTCTTATTGCAAAATTCGTAGGAACAAGACCGGTCGTCACCGTTGGGTCCTGTTGCTATGCGACCGTCCGTTCCCATGGTTACAGGAGTCTCTCCATGGTAACGACCCTGAAACTTTTTTGTCTCTTATTGCAAAATTCGTAGGTTCTGAACAAAACTGGTCGTCACCGTAAGACCCTGTTGCTAGGCGACCGTCCGTTCCCATGGTTACAGGAGTCTCTCCATGGTGACGACCTTGCGGAGCATGGCGCGTGTGTAGGTCATCCTCTCCCGCATCTCCGCCGGGCAGCCCGAGTGCGCAAGCGTGACCAGGCGGTACGTACTGCTCATGCGCTGCTGGTTGATGTACGTCATGACGTAGTCCTCGGGGTCACCGCAGGTCAGGATCACCTTCACGTGGTCGTCTACAAAGTTGATCTGGAATGAAATATATATATTTCATTAGTCAAGTGAGCTAAGCACTAGTAAATGCCAACTTGGTTGAGTGCAAAATGTTTAAAGGTATTTATGTGAACTTAAGACGATCACCCAGGAAAAGAGTGTCTTCTAATATGAAAAAAAGCATGGCGACAAGAGTACATAGAGTCCAAGAAAAAAGCAGCTAAAAGTCTACCCATTTAACAATAGACTATCCCATTGTAATGATCCAAAAAGACCATGCCAGTACCATTTTACATTGACTGTTTTGTAGTTGTGCTGTCGAAATCAATGGCAAGCTGGTCGATTCTATCTAGTTATCATATTTCTCACTAGTTATCATAAAAAGATACCAAATATCCACACACCCTTTTCAGTAACCGTGGCTGCTAGAGAAGCATACATACAAACCCACAGAAAAAAAAAACACGCAAAAAATACCCGGAAGTATACATAACATAACAAGACAGAAAAATAATTTTCCCACCTGTAAGGTGTTACAGCTGAGGATCATGACGATAGCGCGGTCGGTACGGAACCACCTGGTGACGTAAGGCACACGCTCCACGCCGAAATCTCGCGAGACTACGCTGCTGTGGGGCATGTCCCCACCCTGGGCGAAATATTGGAAGAACGGCTTGAATATACAGGGCAAGAAATATCATTCCCCTGGCAAAATAGGTTGGGGATATTGGCTATATTCTGTCACTGAAGTTGGCCATGACATGTAGGTGAACACAAATGCGCAAAATACGCGCTATATTCTTCCTATTTGGCCAATTTCTCATTTTCTTTTTAGGCTGCAGAAGATCTAGAGTCTCGTTGTCGGTGTACCGTTGCTTGCGGGGCAAAGACCACTTGGCGCAGGCCCAGAAGGCTGTCAATGTGAGTTTTCAATAGTTACACACACAAGTAGGTGGTTTTTACCATTTTCTGACATGTTTACCATATATTCCAATGGAAGCTTCCAATAGTGGGCCATGTCCTGTGCTGTCCGTACTTCCCCGTGGCTCCCAACATGCAATGGATCCGAGAAAATATCTATATATAGACAGGTGTCAATGGTATAAAAAAAAATTAAAAAATGGTGTCACCTTGATGAGTCTGTCCTCCATGTATCGCGAGAAGTAGTCGAGCAGCGTGAGCGCGTTCTTCAGGTGCGCAGGCGCAGTGGCGGCCGTGAAGATGGCGGTACGCCCGCCAGACTGTGCGGGGTAGTACTGCATCGTCCTGGAGTGACGTGAGACGGAACATTTAGTGTATATCGATATCATTTCAGCATCTCTAATACTAGTATATAGATTTGCTCATCAGGAGTGAGAACTTTGATGCTACTGTACAAGACCTTTACCCAGAAGTCTAACTAAATCTATAGTGCCTCAGCCAATGGATTAAGGATCAGGGACGGTTCTGGATAGTCTCCGCGTATCCAAAAACGTAGATTTTCCAAGGCACGATTCTGGATATGCTAGACATATGACTATCCAAACCGTGATTGAAATCTGAAATCTGCTAGGTTTTAGTTCTATGCTTCAATGGGTTAGGGTTAGGATCAGGCACGGTTTTGAATATTCTTCCCGTACCCAAGAACGCACATGTAGATTTGCCCCAGGCACGGTGCTGGATGCGGATAGGAGTGGACTTCCCATATCAAACCATTCCTGAGCATGGTTCTGGATGCAACAGGTGCTATCGGACCAATACTTGTGCGGATGGATACCTTTTGTCTGGGCAGAGCGTGATGAGGCTGGCGTCGTTAAGCAGCAGCCCGACGCTGTTGTCGGACAGCTGGTAGCCGAACCCGTACCGGTTGGAGTAGTCCACCCACTTCGGCACCCATGTCACCTTACCTCGGGGACCCGACCACTGAGGAGGCTTCGGGTTCTCCGCTTGAAGAAGGAGAGGAAGAGGAGGGGGTCAGAGGGAATGTACAGAAATGTTGGACCGTTTCTTACATATAAGACCATATAAGACTTACCAATCCTTGGACTAGATCTCTGGCAATCTTCAAGGTAACTGACTTGATTATACAACATGTACATGACCTCATTGCCGCACGATTTCTAAGCAATGGGTTAAAAGTGGTCGGAAGTCGATATCGTCCCCCGGCCTCGTCCGGTCAGGATTGAGTATATATTTCACCATGCAGATCCACAACGGAACGAATTAGAAAGTTACAAATGGATTCTAAATATCAACCTTTTGGTGGATAGCCTTTGCTCCAAGGAAAAAAGAAAAGAAAAATAGATCGCAATCTAGATTCAGAGGGTTCAAAATGACGTTGACGAACAATTAATGTACATTGAGAGATACATTACCAGTCGGCATGTTGTCCACACATGTGGTGAGCGCCTGCAGCATCTTCCTGGTGGCCCAGCGGTCACACCGGGACCCTACAGCAGCACCTGCGGGAAACCGGAGGTATTGTTATGATCTTGAACTTGACGATCGACCTTCTTGCTACTTATTGATAGGCTCCTGATACTTTTTCTTCACATACCTTGCTGTGTCTAAAACAGCTAAGCAAGTGATTTTCACGTTTTTTTAAGCTGAGATCACAAAGCATTTGTATACCGTTGTTTTTGGTTGGTTGGTTGGTTGGTTGGTTGGTTGGTTGGTTGGTTGGTTGGTTGGTGTGTGCATGTATATCTGCGTTTATGTATGTGTGTGTGCGTGTGTAACTATTTGTATGTATTTGTTCACGTCTGTGTGTTTTCTGTAGGTCACGGTGTGATGAATGCAGTACATATGTGCACATAAAGACAGAATGATGTGACATAAGACATGACTTTACCTGCAGTGACAGTTGTAGGGGACTCGGGCGGACGCGGGGAGTTCGGACAGGCAAACGTGGCGACCGCTGATTGGATGGCGCGCTTGACGTCACTCCCTGTCTTGCCGCTGCCCCCTGCGTCACACCCCGATGTAGCCGGAGACCGTTCTCCGTCATCTGTAAGGGGACAAACTTTGTTACATCTTCGCCACATGCTGTAGCCTTTCTGTTTTGTAGCCATATTGTAACTAGGAACACTGCACGCAATACTTTTCACATAAAAAGGGCTAGGCTGCATGAAAATTTGATAGAGTTATTTCAAAACTTTACGGTATTTGGGTTAATCAAGTATGCCATTCAGAACAAATTTTTTACATGTACAAAATGCTCCGTCTAAAACAATTGGAAGTGCTTGTATGTACTTTGTGAAACAGTTACATATGCCGTACTTTACTTTTACTTGACCTAAGGTACAATGGACTTTTTAGCAAGCTAACTTATGCGTGTGTGAGGTGGTTTTACCTGTAATGCGAGACTCAGAGTTGTCGTTGGTGTTCGTAGGTTCATCTGTTGAAGCTGCCTTCCTGAAAAATACAAAATTGGACACGTTTATTTCATGAAGGTGCAATACATTGCCAGAGGACTCTAGCTGCCTAGCAGGCTTGGGTACCACAACAATAGTTAATTTTTTTTTTATTGAAGATACAATACAAAGACAAGGACAAAGTGAGACTGCACTCAAGTTAAACACAATAGTAACATTTGAATCGCAATAACGTCCAGAATAATGTATATATAAAACCAAGGGAGGCTGCAAAAATATAAATACAGAGCTAGCATTGGTCTCATTCTATCTCCCATTGTTGAACAAGGAAGAACATACACGTACCCTTTACTCGGTGTGACAGCCATGTTAGAAAACGTCGCTGCCACTCTGTTCACCCGAGCTCCGTCTTTCTCTTTCTTCTCCACACTTGGAGGGTCAGACTTTGCTTTTACCGCAGGGGTAGAGGTTGTCTTCCCACTGGAGACGGGAATTTTGGACTTCTTGTTCAACGTGTTACATCTTTGTAGAGTTGCCAGTTTGGGCGTTACGGGTTTGGTTGGGAATCTGGGCTCTACGGTACAGGCGGTGGGAGGTAGGCGAGTTGGCACGAACTCCTGTATCAGGGAAGGCGAGATGGAAAAGTAAACTTAACGAGAAACTCAAAAATTTCTTCTTTTTTTTCCAAAGATATCAAATTAAGGACGATTACGTCCCAGAGAACCAACAGGATCCAATCTTGTTCAAAACCATAAAACGGGATATGTATGTGATCAAATGAAACATTCAAACGTAACGTTACATATCGGACCATGCATGTGCCGACCATGTTTTCGGCCTTCCTCAGGGTGACTGACCTACCACATTAGACACGTGACTTCAAGTGGGGCAAAGGTTACTGGAAGCGTGTACTGACCCCCCTTTTGGCGGTTAAAAAGCTGTTTATTCATTTCATTGTTTATTTGTGTTTTGTTGTTTCTTTGAGTCTTACCTTTGTTAGGATCTTAAGAAGATGTGCGTGTAACGATTGAATGTCTTTTATTTATCTCGATGTTTGTTTTTTAGTCTTACCTTCGATAAGAACCCATGATCAAGCAACCGGATATGATTTTTACCTTTAAACCTGATTTTCTGACAACTCTCCAGTGTAGTGGATGCTACCTGAAACGGCTGATCGTTTCTAAAAGCATATCCAGTTGCTAGAGTAGCTGTTTTTTTGGACTATTTAATTTTCTTTTGGTCTTACCTTCGTTAAGAAGCCGTGTTCGATGACCCCGTCCAAGGTGAGTCTCTGCAGGGGGTCCTTACAGAGCAGGGCGCGCAGTAGGGCCTTGGATGACGTCACCAGGCGTACGGGCATGACGTACTGCACCTCCAGGATGCGCGCGTACGTGTCCTTCAGAGTAGCCGTCTCAAACGGGGGTTTACCCGTCAGCATGGTGTAACTGACGATAAGATCGATAAATAAGAGATGTGTTAAACCTAAAGTAAAAATGGCTCGAGCTTTTGTGAATCTATTGGCACAACAAAAATTGGCAAAACCTTAATCTCAAAGCAGATGCTAGGGTGGCAAAAGACAGTATCGAATTGGCCAGGCAGGATCCATTAATTAGAGAGGTTCCATACACTAATCTCCAAGAAGATCTTTTGGTGGGGGTAAGGGAGTATCAATTTGGCCAGTATCCATTGGATACAGACGGGTCAATTTGATACTGTCTTACCCCCTCCAAAAGATCTGCTTGGAGATTACCATACGCCACCCTTGCACCCTAGCATCTTCCCTTGCGCTCCCACTCTTTCACAGTGCACTATTCACCAAAGGTAATTCTCGAGTGCACGTGAAGAACGAGATTGAACAAGAAGCTGTCCGCAAAATTTTGTGCACGAAACGTTTAGGATATGCTGAGTTCAAAACAAAGTAAGCCGGCTTACATGGCACAGCCGAGCGCCCACATGTCCGCCGCGAACCCGTGACCTTTCTTCTGGAGGACCTCAGGAGCGATGTAGTTCGGAGTTCCGCAGATGGTTCTGAGAGGAATATTGACAACATGACTATTAACACTTCATTCAAAGCTCTGGAAAACGTCAAAGTCGCCAGAACATTTTACAATCTTAAAACTGCAACGATAGCTGCAAACTTCATGAAATATACGCCAAAAAGCAGTAACTGCCTTTTGGCGTATCGTATTGCCTGGATGTCTAACCTTCATCGACGTTTCATGAAATATACTTATGCCAAAATATCAGATCATTGAATTATTAGTTTTAGAACTAGAGGTGGCAGTGAAAGATACCCTTCATCAACGGGATATGACTGGTTCACTGCGGCACCGAAGCTAGAGGTGTTACTGTTAAAAATGTGGCCAAACGTAATTGTAAGTGTGGTCTTAATCTTGTAAAACAAGTGGTTGTGAACAAAGAACCCACCTTCTAAGCTCCACGCCCTCCTCCACGTTGGTCGCCAGTCCGAAGTCTCCGATCTTCACGTCCATGTTCTCCGTGAGGAAGAAGTTGCCGAGTTTGAGGTCCCTGTGCACGATGCCCAGTCGGTGCAGGTACCGCACGCCCTCGGTCACCTGCCGGAGGTAGTACCGCACCTCAGGCTCCGTCAGGGTCTTCCGGTGCCGGATGATGTTCGCCAGGCACTGCGAAATGTGAGAAATAAACCACCGAGTGAGCGTAGCGACTCTGTGCACGATGCCCAAGCGGTGCAGGTACCGCACGCCCTCGGTTACCTGCCGGAGGTAGTACCGCACCTCGGGCTCCGTCAGGGTCTTACGGTGCCGGATGATGTTCGCCAGACACTACGAATTGTACAAGAAATCCATTATCGTGAAAAGAGGTTATGATGCTTTGATTCTTTGTTTGAGACTTCGTTAATCAATTCAAGGAGCTAGGAGAGAGAACCACGACGCACACGTTTGACTAAAGAGCGACCTCTGGCGGCTAAGAGCAGCTCCAGTCATTGCCATCGATCCTGAGGACCATAACAGAGGACTACCGAATCTTTTGGCAGCCTTCGTCGACAACGATGGAAAGAAGCTTTATAAGGCCTACTACTAAGGAAAAATGTTCTAGGGTTGGTCGGGAAACAGGAAACACAACATCTTTTTCCTGGGCGTAAGCAGAAGATTTCAATAAGCAATTAAGATTTTAGGAAATACCTTTCTGTTGCAGTTCTCCAGGATGATGTAAATGTTCTGCTCGTCCTCGAAGCTGTGGTGGAACGCGACAACATGGCGGTGCAGCAACGTGCGGTGCAGCGCCACCTCGCGGTCGATCTGGAACGACAGGAACGAGGTTAGTGAGTCATATCAAAACCAAATGAGACTTTATTGATATCAAAGAAAATTCAATCACGTCAGGTGTTTTTGCCAGATACGCGTTGTAATTAACTTTTATTGAGTTATAATTTTTTTTATGCTAGCACTACATGTGGGCCTTTTGAATGTTGGCTATCCAATCTCCATACATTACAATCGGAGTGAAACCTGTATTCATGTATGTGCATCATACGGCTAGATATGTATACTAACTTTCTAAAACAGATAACTGATTGGACGTATGTATATATGGCTTTTTTTCCTCACCTTCTCCCTCTGTGCGGGTTTGGCGACCCGAGTCTTTGGGATGACCTTCCCGGCAAACAGGACATTTGTCGACGTGTCCCTCAGCTCAAAACACTTCGCGAAACCGCCCTGGAACAGGAGAGAAACAGATTTAAGGGCATACAAACCTTTTCTCAACTGATCGACGGGGGGCGATACCAACCTCCGACGAACTTTGACCCGTCCCTGACGTCACACGTACACAAAACGACGTGTGTCAGAAAGCTGAGGAACATTGAGTGATTCAGTGAAAAATGTCGATACTTCTTTGAGTTTGAGAACATTTGAAAGTTGCTCAGAGGATTTAAGGGGGGTAGGTGTATGTGAGGATGGGGGCTTCCGCAACACTAAATTCAGGAAGGCAGTGGCTATGTATTACGTTTCCGTCAGGCTGGCTTCTATTTAGGGCCCCATCACCTTCCTCATACGATCGCAAACGAAGGGAATTTTTGCCGTCGTACAAAAGTCAGCTGTTTTGTTACGGAAATGCCTGTCCTAGATTATTGTCGGCAGATTGTTTTATACACTGCCTGCTTGAAAATTCGACATTATCAAAATCGTCCTACGACTTTCGGCGAATGCGAGTGCAACGTAACTCTTTATTCAGTTGTTTTACGTTGTACACGAAATCCGACTACGAATCTACGGAAAGGAGCTTTAATTCAGGCCCCTTTTATAAGGATGAAAAGATCAGTTCCTGCAGGTTTGTACGGAAGTTGTGTGTCGAGACGGTTCAGCGATGCGGTCTGTTCCCCATTTCTGGGTAGTCTCCACCAGACTCTTTTGCAGCGGCTGAATAAATTGTAGAAATCGGCCCAAAATGAACGTGGTTGGCCAGGCGATTCTTTTTAGGCCAGCTACATTCTTTTTAGGCCGATTTCTACTATTTATGCAGCCTGCAAAAGAGTCTGGTGGAGACTAGTTCAGTGCTGCCGAAGTCTGTTCCCCATTTCTCATGACAACAGAACACAGTCAGTGTTGTGTAGCCGCGGGGGCCGTCTGGGTAGAACAGGTCCCGTATCTCGGCTAGGATGTGTGAGGTTACCGGGGTTCTGTCTGGGAAGAACAGGTCCCGTATCTCGGCTAGGATGTGTTAGGTTACCGGGGTTCTGTCTGGGTAGAACAGGTCCCGTATCTCGGCTAGGATGTGTAAGGTTACCGGGGTTTTCCTGTTATGTGTAACCGGGCAAGTGGATACATGCACTCTTTACCGTATGTCTTCAACATCACAACCGCTAGATATTGTATGTCCGTTCTCGAATACGTACGGCAAACACAAAACCACGCAAAGAGCCGAGTGCCATTCATGTTAAGACGGAAAACAACAAAGCCAAGGATAGGCCTAACTCAAAGGCCTTAAGGAGGCAACTTTTTCACCTGGAACTGAAGAAAAGGCTGTGTTTTCACTTTTGAAGACACTCGCCTGGTTTATGAAATGATAACTGGAAATGTGACTTCCATATTGAGAACACACATATTGAAGCACTAAAAAATACGGGACTGACAACATCAGATTCTGAATGTCCGGAGTCCATACAAGTGGAGCATGAAAACTTCCCAAATTTTCAATCAGGAACTTTGTTGACATCTCCACCTGACACCGGCTCTATTTTTAGCTGTTTTGATCTTATTTACACCTGTGGCATGTTGACCTGGATTCCTTACTCCTGTCGTATACGTGAAAGTGCATTTTTTGCGCCTCCGTCGTGTACGAAAACAGGAAGTCACAGGAATATTGCGTTACAGAGCAGGTATCACGGACAGACACACGGTTTGTACACACATGTAGTGACATGGTAATTTACTAGTCTCTACCAAGGAGGTTACTTAGTATTGTATTTAACCTCCTTGTCTCTACCAGACTAACTACGCTGGTTATAGATAGGATAATATTTGCCAGGGGAGAAGTTGGCCGCCTTGTTGGTTTGACTGGCCGCGCAGTTCGGAGGGAAAGAAACTACCTCCCCGTGGCTGAACTCCCTTGGCCAATTTTACTCTCTTTTTTTGCCGATTTCTACGATCCGTATACCTGTAGGAAGGCCTAGTGGAGGCTAGGTAATTTACTATAACGGAACGAAGTTCAACAGCGTGGAACATCTCAGTGCCATGCTTTAGCTATTAACAAATTATACACTGTAAAGAAAAGATTACTGTTCATGTTATAAAACAACCTTCCAAGCTGAAGCCAAGTGCAATGAAACTAAACTCCCATAACATTGCACTTTAGGACGCCCTTGTTGTATTTTACATGGCTGATGAACAAGAAAACTGCGCATATTAGGCAGAGAAAAGCCCAGAAAATAGAAATGCTGAGGAGGCTAACTTTGAGATTAAGCATGACAAATGTTAGTTCTAGATTAGATGATCTACGGGAAATCAAGCTTTGCCGCTGTTGATAAAAGACCTACGGGAAACCTCGCCACTCATGACACCGCGACTATCAGGAAACAGCTGACGGAAAACACACTAGGATAAGGGAACTCTTCATACTCGGATGAACAACACTAGTAGATAGTTGGCCATTTCGTTATATATTCAGCTACAGGGTAACGTTGTGTAGGAAGTACAACCACCGCCTTGTACATGTAAAGTTGGTGTTCGAAGCTGAGAGGTTATAAACTGTTTATTATAATTAATAAAATCCAGGTAACACTTCCAATTTGGAAAGCACGATTTTGAGAGCGCAATATATAAATTCGATTATTGACCCATTAGTATTTGAAGTTGTTACTAGTGCTACAATCATGTAAAAGAGTAAGCCTAAATAGAACGGTATCTTTCCTCTGTATCTAACTTGCTGTCTCCAACGTTATATCCTGGCGTCTTTTATATCAATGGCAAGACTAACTAAAAGTTCCGTACCTTGCCCAGAATCCTGAGTCTGTTGTAGGTCCGTCCTGACTCGGTGTCGGCGATGGTAGCCGGGACCTCCGGCTGGACCTTCTTACCGCTCCCCGGGTTGTTGTTGTTGTTCCCGCCGCCGCTGCCGTCCTTGTTCTTCCCCGGCTCCGTCCCGTCTACGTGTACCTTAAAGTTGTTTTTTGTTATTATTATTTGCAATTCAGCATGGACAGTACAGGACATGATGGTGAGGTACTCTAGCTATAGCTAATTTTAACCTCACCACCAGACATACAAGTATACAGAGACAAAATACATGACAAGAACAACAGAGAACAGCAAATGGGTGGAAATGGAACAATAAATGGTAAGGAGGAACATGTTTTGTAGGCTATGTAGGAGTTAATCTAATACAAACCGTTTGGTATCAATAACGTAAGTTTGAGTGAATATCAAAATGTTACAGTTTGTATCTGGGTGTAAATCGGGTTATCCTCTAAGTAAAATGTTACATTGTTCAGACATGTTGTGTACATCAAAGATAGACCCTACCAAGTTCTGTAGATTGCTGAGTAGGGTGACTCTTTGCTGATTATATACTGGGCAGTGTAACAGAAAATGTATGACGGTCTCACAACGAGACCCGCACATACCTTAAAGTTCTGGACGTGAGCGGCGACGATTTGCGGGGCTCGGGAGAGAAGCATGGCGGCACTTCCAGGCAGCGTCTTCGGTTGTTGGGAGACGTTACTACTGGGCGTCTGAAGCCATGGCATCCGGGGGACGGTCTGTGGTGTAACGCCGGCTGGAAGTCTGGTTTTAAATCTCCCGCCGTGTCCAACAAAGAACTGTCGGTTCTCTCTAACTATTCACCGAGTTCCTCTCGTCTTTAAGTACAAACTGAAGGTCTTATAAACAAGATTTCGCTGCAAACGACGCAGAAATAAGGGGTAAGAAATGAGGAAACCAACAGAAGAAAGCAAAAAGCAGAAGGAAGCTGTTTTTCACTGGTCGGAAATTCCTGGACTCGCGACTCACCGGCTGGTCGGGACCCACGTGACGACAATCAGGACCGTCTTCCGGTAGTTTGCTTAAAGGGAGGAAAGTACATGACAAGAAACATCTTTTATTCGCCTTAAACCACAAGACAGACCCTAAAAAGTAATATTTTGGAATAATATAGTGTTGCCTTAACGTTGTTTCAAAGCTTAGATGATTAAAGTGTAACGGAAAACGTATATTTTGGCCAATTTGTGGAATTTTTGGCAACCATTCCTCCTAGTTTTTGACAGATTGAATTAAAAGCCTTGTTGGCAGGTCTCCATGTCGTGATGTCATCGGTTTTGGGGCAAGGTCGCGTGGGAGTGATGACGACACACTTCCTTAAATCTCCAAGCAGATACAGGGTGTTTGTTAGTCTAGGTCGTCTTTTAATGTTTTAAACATGTTGCGTTTTCTTTGGATGGTAGATTTGCCTTAAAGTCGTCCAAACAAGCGACAAGTCGTCTGTACGTCTGTAGCAAGCTGGAAAGCAGCCAAAATCCGCATATTTGCTTGTAGACGGACGTCTTTTTATTGTGATGTAACAAAAAGTCGCCTGACACAGAAACAGGGATGTTTTTCTTTCAAACAAGTGGGGCGCAGCATGCCGTGACGTACATGGCATATCGGGTTTCAGGTGTGGGGTACTCAAACGAACGCCTACGTAGGGACACTACTGCCCTATTGTTACAGCATAGCTGATAGCTGAGTAAAAACACAGTTTGAATGTGCCACTTCAGAGGGGTGTGTAGGCATGAGATTCTGACGGTGGGGTCGCTGTGACCTAATAAGGAGGATCAGGATGGGGTCGGCTGCTTTTGTGCACGTGTGTGCCGGGTGTGTGTAGTGTGTGTATGTATGTATGTGTATGTGTGTGTGCGTACCTGTGTGTGTGTGCGCGCGCTGTGTGTGCGTGTGTTTTTTTTTTTTTACTAATAATCGAAATGTTTCATATTATACGCTGTGAATGTTTTTGCCCCTCAAAAAAGCGTATATGATACTTTCGGCCATGGCATCCATCGTTTTAAATGGCAATGATTGTTTACAAGACGGAAACGTGCTTCGCTGGTCTCTGCCGGTCAGCTGTGTGATTCCCACGACCCGGGGAGGTACAGCTACGTAGGATAAATTTGAATTGCCTCGCTCATAACAAGCCCATAGATCATCTAGACTTCACATAATACACAAAGTTTCGTACTGAACTCAACTGACGGCAAAGATGTGGTCGTTTCCGCTGTTGATCATGGCTGTGGTCGCCTGGCCGGCTTCGTCACAAGGTGAAAACAAACTACTAGTATTTTGCCTTCTTCCTTTCAGTTTCCCTGCATTGCCGAATTCGTTTTACGTTTTTTTTTCTTTTTTTTTGTTTCAGGGAAAGTGTTTGTAAGTTCCACAAGAAACAACCTGTTGGTACTAACTGTTTACAATGCTGATAAGGCTTTTGGGACAGTCTAAGTTAAAAGCTCTATCCTCCTTTCGTCAATGAAGGCTAGGCATCCTGGTATTTAACTATTGCACAGTTGCATTTTTAATCGTTCTTTCTGCCAAGATGTGGACCAGGGCACCTGCGGGACTCCGCTCGCACACTTTGCCTGGCCGAACTGCCACCCTCCCTACTACTACGGGACGGTGTGCACATTCCGGTGCTGGTCGGGATATGTCCCATCCACCTTCATGACTTCGAGCACCTGTCTGTCCAACGGAATGTGGTCTGGAGGGGTCTACATCTGTCAACCGTATGTAGACAATTGTTATTACCTTCGTGTGTGTGTGTGTGCGTGTGTGAGTGTGTGCGTGTGTGTGCGTGCGTGTGTGTGTGTGTGTGAACAGGCTGAAGTCAGAGAACAGCATTATTATCAATTCCTTCAACTGAAAGTTGCATATCTTTCTCCCAGAATTATAACAGGAAAGTGAGCATGCCTGGCCAGCCCTGGCCGCCAGGGGATCCGAGAAACGGTGAATGCATTACGTCATAGAGGAGCAGCGACCCCTGGCGGAGGAGTTAGGATTCACAACCATGGCCCATAGGCCAAATAAAGTTTTGTGTCATCAACTACTTCGCAGAAGAGTGTATATTGGTTGGAAATATTACCAATAATCTAATATTTAGATATTAAATACCGACACCGCTAACAAAGATACAATCAATGACATAAACACTGGAACCGTATCGTCATTGTGAATATAATGTAAGTAAAAACGATAATGCTAGTAATAACATAAGATCGATTAGTGATGAACAACAGAGGTACCTAAAGTAACAATCCAAAATAACATATAAGAGTGATTATTTTCAAGATTCGAGTTTGGTTCTAAAGGAGAGCAAAGGCGAACCTCTGATTATGTCGTATACTCTGCTACCGTAGATTTCTACTGTAATCATTTCTACCGTACATTCTACTACCGTAGACTTTTCTACTGTAGACCTTTCTATTGAAGACTCTGCTATCCTAAACTCTTCTGCTATAGACTTGTGGTAGTTGATTGAGACTCTTCTACCGTAGACTCTGGTTGTTCTGTAGAATCTTCTATGGGATTTTTTATTCCTGACCTTGGAGGGTCAAGGTCACTGGACAGTGTTCTCTCCTTGTCACCCCGGGCATGCGCAGTTCTGGTGAGGTAAACCTCCACTGACGTCATGAGAAGTACGCTGAAGATGACGGCACTTCCGGCCACGTAGAACGACACGTTGTAGTTTCCGGTCACGTCATACAGATAACCTGACGATGAAAAAGGTATGAAATTTTCACTTAAGAAAAGGATGTAATTTTATTTTATTAGCAAATATAACATCTATTCATTAATTTATTAATTTGTATCAACCTAAAATACACACAGATCGTCTTCGAGCGGAGAAGTGAAATTATATACGCAACTAGAAAGATACTAGTAACATTTGCCAAGCTCATGCAAAGTGTACCCTTAACATGGGGACAGTGTAGCCCAATAAACTACTGCTTTGTTTCTTTGTACTTAATTAAACAAATGGTGACCAGTCCATCAAACTCCTACCACCTGCTACATTAGGTAACCCAGCACCACGGGGTGTCTGCTACAGTATCAGTTACCATGGTGACAGACGTAAGAATAGGGAGAAGAAGCAGAGACTGCATATATATTACCTGCGATTGGCGGTCCGAACAGCGTAGGTAACCCCCCGAGGCCGTACAGAATGCCCAGCGCGCTGGCCAGCCGGTTTACTCCGCAGAACTCTGCCGGAAAGACCGCCACTTGCGTCGAGTAACAGCCGGCGAACACGCCGAAACACAGGCAGCAAACCACCATGGCTGGGTACGTCTCCGCGAAGGGCAGGCACACTACGCTCAAACCGAACCCCAGAATACACACGATGAAACCCCGAAGTCGAACGAACAACCCAAGATCTGACAGCCAACCGTACGCCACTCTACACACGCAATCGCCGATACCGATTACAGATATCAGGAAGGCTGCTCTCTGTGGGTCTATCCCGAGATTTCTGGCGTGGGCAACGAGATGCACGTATGGAATAAAGTTGCCGAAAAACAAGAAAATATTCGCAAACGTGAAAACGACGAAAAACGGTATTTTGAAGAGAGAAAAGTCAAATAAGCGAGTCGAGCACAAGCTTGTGTTTCGAGGTTCGCTTGTGCTACGGTTTTCGACATCCTCCTTAAGGTAGATCGGCCTTAGCAATGCACCAATCACCAGGCCTTGCAGGGCCACCCCTGCAGTTATAAGTAGGGCTCCCCGCCAGCCATATTCGTCAATGATGTACTGGAAAAATGGCGGGAAAGCGAAAGTACCTAGTCCCGTCCCGGTCACCCCGATACCGTTCGCTAGGGCCCGTCTTTTCTTGAAGTACCTGCCTACCATGGTCAGGCAAGGTGTGTACATCAAGGAGAAACCCACACCTGTGAAAAGGAAAAATTCATTCGTCAAAGAAAAGAAGGGCCCAAGAGGTAGAAACAAAATCAACTTTCTCATGAGTAAAGAATAGTTCAAACAAATGTACCTGTGACAAAGCCTGTAGTGACATACATGGCGGGTAAACTGGTGACGAAGAAACTTGAGAGGAGACCCGAGCCGGCCACCAGACTTCCCGCCATCACCACAGCTCTGCACCCAAACACGTTCGTCAGGGCGCCGGTAAACACCGCTGTGGGAGTAGAGAATGTTGGTTATATCATGACATACATGTATTATCATATCATATAGCCAGAAGACGTCGACCAACGAAAGGCTCCATTTCCCCCATAACCTAGCTATTATAGGTCATGAATATCCGATATACTGGCACGCTTTTCAAATGGAACAGCCGTTCTGTTCCAGTGACCACGGGTAACCCCAAATGGAACACATGTTCTGTTCCAAAGACACAAATGGAACATGCGTTCTGTTCCAGTGACCGTGGGTAACCCCAAATGGAACACATGTTCTGTTCCAAAGAGACAAATGGAACATGCGTTCTGTTCCAATGACCACAGCTGACCCAAGAAGTACAGAATGAAGCGGTCTATTTTACCATTCTATTCTATTTGGAATTCTATTCGAATTCTATTCTATGAACCACGGTTAATATCGTTTCTTCCTCTCATCTATATTTACCAGTGCCATTTAGATAGGAAACTCTCCTTACAGCCGAACAGGCACGTCGTATAGAGCTGACCCAAGCTGTGTCCCTCGCGTCTTCTCCGAACGCCTCAAGGAAGTACGGGAAGAAGACGCCGAACGAATAGATGACGCCCACGACGCAGAGGTGGCACATGAAGCTGCTGAGGACGACGAACCAGCCCCAACCGCCATCTGGTGGCTCCTCACGGTACTGTACACCCTTCATCGCAGTTCAGTCACCTGCCTTCTTGGTGATTAAATCTGCTTTGCATAAAAGAAAATGGCAATGACATTTGAGTACGACATGGGTTACACAAGTCAGATGATTTTCTCGCACAAACGCAAACGTGGTGCTAAGTTGCATCTAGTTTACGGCACAGCGAACTACCAAAGACACAGTATTCAAAGCAATACCTTCTGAGGAGATGTTTTTCTGCTAATGTCAAAAGTCGGCAGGTCGTCGCTCCACCCTCGAGGTATGTATCCGCATGACCTCTTACACCTCCTGATGACCCCTACGGACTAAAGAAAACGCACCTATATGTACAGTCAAAAGTTGAAAGGAACCAACAAGTTATGAACATAAATGACATTTTCTCTTTGTAATAAAACTGTCCCTGTTATAGAAAGGTGCTAATTTCAATATTAGACTGCAAACGTTGCTGTTCTGTGGCTGGTAACAGAACGTTTGCTTTTCGCGGTTGGATGCCATCAGTTGTTCGACCAGTGGGCAGAAGCCATATATAGTTACCTTCGTCGAGGTCAAATGTTGGGTCAGGGACGTTGGTTAGGTACATTACATATATGACCGTACAAAAGCCCGTGTACTTTTTGTTGAGTCAATTAAGTATCTATATTATAGGGGTTGCCGATTTTTATCAACGGTTATAATTTGGAGTGTGGTACATGTAACGTTACATGTATCTTCATGCTTCGAATTCATGATATTTGGCAGGTACTAAGGCATTTGGGGCAACAAAGGTCAAGGACATTATGGGTAATCTAGCAGCTTTGTTATGGTTTTGACTTCTGAGTGGGACATAGATGTTTGTGCAATGGGTACCTGGTGTAGGTCGATGAAGGTTAGACATCCAGGTAATAAGATGCGCCAAGAAGCAGTTACTCAAGCAACTGGATATGATTTTATGGAAACGGTCAGACGTTTCAGGTAGCATCCATTAGCTTTCGTCAGTGACTGTGGATGCTAGCTGAAACGTCTGACCGTTTCCAAAATCATATCCAGTTGCTTGAGTACTAGTAACTGCTTTTTGGGTAGCTGGTGTAGTTTTCGGTGGGCTTGGGGGCTGTAGGCCCTGGAAAGAGTCTGTCACCCAGGCTATTGTGACAATTGGTTCTACGTTTCTGGGATGGCTACAGGCGTACAAAACTCAACAAAGGCGAGATACATTTTGTATTTAACGTTTTATTGCCATATTGATAAGAAAGGTCAATAAAGCATTTCATATTTGAGGTAAATCAATAATAAATATAATAAAAACGTAATATAAATTGTACTCATAATTAGTTTTCTTAACTTTTTGTGCGTTGTTGTCATACATTTTGTTCCCAGAAACTACCCGGCTGATTTTCTCGTCACTTTTCCCGGACTATGACAATTAAGGCAACAGCAATGGGAAATATGACACATCGAGAAAAAATTGCCTTTTCCAGAACCTGCTCTACAGGACAGTCTGAAACAGATCAAAGATGGAGGGAGAGCATAGTCATAGGAAAAGTTACACTGTTGTCTCTTGTACAAGAAACGGTGCCTTGCAGTTCTTCATGTCCTCATTTAACCTCTTCGACTCTTCTATGCCCTTGTCTGTTCCGGATGCTGCAAGGTCAAGGTCACCATTAACTGTTCTCTCGTGATACTCCCGGGCATGCGCAGTTCTGGTGAGGTAAATTTCCACTGTCGTCATGAGAAGCACGCTGAAGAAGAGGGCACTTCCGGCCACGTGGAACGACACGTTGTAGTTTCCGGTCACGTCATACAGATAACCTGACGATGCGGGAAAAATGTAAAATGATAAGTTCAACACAAACGATATCAGAATTGACAGTGAGCTTTTGAAAGATTTGAAACTGCAGTACAGGCAAAATGATTTCCAGTGTTGGCCTGGTTACTAGTAATTTCCAAGCAGATCCCTCTAGGTGGCAAAAAAACAGTATCAAATTGGCCAGGCAGTATCCATTAGCCAGAGGAGGTCGGCAGCCACCGACGGGGTAGCGACAAAAAACGACCATATATAAAAAGGTAACAATCATTCCCCTACAACCTCTGCTTGGAGGGTAGGTTACTAGACCTATTTTAGCTCCCAAGTCTGTATTTGAGGAGAGAACGAAAAAGACACGGGAGCTAAAACAGGCCGGATATTGGGGCTATATTAGCGGTCCGAGACATTGCACATTGGAAAGTAAATAAATACATGTAACTGCTTTTATCAATATGTGTGGTGGGTTCTTTACTCATCAGTATTACCTGCGATTGGCGGGCCGAACAGCGCCGGGAACCCTGCGAGGCCGTACAGAATGCCGAGCGCGCTGGCCAGCCGGCTCACTCCGCAGAACTCTGCCGCGAACACAGCCGTCTGGGTGGCGAGGCAGCCGACGCAAACTCCAAAACACAGGCAGCAAACCACCATGGCAGGGTACGACTCCGCGAAGGGCAAGCACACCAGGCTCAAACTGCATCCAAGCTGACACACGATGTAGCCCCGCAGGCGAACGAACAACCCACGATCGGACAGCCAGCCGTACGCTAATCTAGAAATTCCATCGGCAATGCCGATGACTGAGATTAAGAAAGCTGCTCTCTGTGCATCTATCCCGACATGTCTCGCGTGGGCCACAAGATGCACGTAGGGGATGGAGTTAGCGAACTGCATGAACATATTCGAAAACACAAAAACCACAAAAATCGGTATTTTAAAGAGAGAAAAGTTGAATATGCGCGTACAGCATCCACTTTTGTCTCGAGTCGATTTGGTGACACGATTTTTGAGATCGTCCTTGAGGTAGATAGGTTTTAGCAATGCACCAATCACCAGGCCTTGCAGGGCCACCCCTGCGGTTATAAGTAGGGCTCCCCGCCAGCCGTACTCGTCAGTGATGTACTGGAAAAATGGAGGTAGAATGAAAGTTCCGAGTCCAGTTCCTGTCACGCCAAGGCCGTTCGCGAGAGCCCGTCTTTTCTTGAAGTACCTGCCTACCATGGTCAGGCAAGGTGTGTACATCAAGGAGAAACCCACACCTGCGAGAAGAAAGGAAACAAGTTCATTTATAAGTATGTAAGAATTAGGAGAGTAGAAACAGAAAGATACTTCTGGTCCCGGGCTGAGAATCGAACCCACGACAAACCCGAACACCAGCTTCAGACCCTGACACTCTAACGATTCGGCTAAAAGGTCTGGACCCGTCTGACGGATCAGTTGGTAGCGCTTATCTTATACCCCCCCCCCCCACACTGTTACAAGGAAGCAAAATATGCTAGCCTGGTCACCAAAGCTATTTAGCTGCAGAGTCTCTCTGCAAATTTTTGGATCATTTTGCAGGCAGGATTATAGAGAATCGGCAGCTAAAATAGGTTTGGTAACTACTCTGTAAAAATGCTGGATTGTGGTCGGTACAATTATTGGTTGACTCGACTGTATCTCATACCGAAGTTAGGTGTGATTTACCTGTAACAAATCCTGCAGTGACAAACATGGCGGGTAAACTTGTGACGAAGAAACTGGAGAGGAGACCCGAGCCGGCCACCAGACTTCCCGCCATCACCACAGCTCTGCAGCCGAACACGTTCGTCAGGGCGCCGGTAAACACCGCTGGGGAGGGGGAAAAGGAGAATGGTACCGGCAAATGTATATATAAATATAGGATTACTAGATTTACCACGTTGTGGACGGATTGAGAAAATAAGTGACTTATGATCTTTCCTATTCAAGATGCTAACCTTAATCTCCAAGCAGATCATACATGGCAAGGCAGTATCCATTGGTCAGAGGAGTGTCCATTTCAGTTCTATCTATTCTAAGTAATAGGGTTACTATCCTTCTTTCTTTGTCTGTTGTACATGTACCATTATCATCATTATTATTTTTAAATAAGGCCACACCGACTTAATTTTATGGATGACATCCACGTGCGCATTGATTTTCGCCTGAT